TCAGTCAATCAATCCACTGATTAAGAGTCCATTTCAAATTGTTCAAGGATACAACCCCAAACAAGCTATTGACCTCTTACCCATCCTTCTTACTACCCATACATCTAAATCAGCTAAAACTTTTGCTCATCGCCTTCACAACCTTCATGTTGAGATTAGGCGTAAGTTAGCAATGAGTAATGATACATATAAATTAGTTGCCAACACACTTCACCGTTTTCAAGAATTTGATGTTGGAGACTACGTTATGGCTCGCATATACCCAAAGCACTTCTCGAGAAATTCGCTCAAGAAGTTACATGCTCATGCTTCTGGCCCTTTTTGCATTGCAAAAAAACTAAGGCCTAATGCTTATTTGTTAGATTTATCTCCAAATATGTCTATCATTCCAATATTTAATGTTGAGGATTTTGTTCCTTATCGGGGTACTTTTAAGCCACCCCCTTTGCTCTCTAATGCCTCTATAGGTGCACAACCCCACCATGCCCCAATTCCATCATTTCCTATTGTTATGCCACCTACTGACACCATTGATGTTGTCATGGACGAACAGACAATTATTACTCAAGCAGGTCCTATCCGATGATACCTTGTCCGTTGGAAGGGTCATTCAGATTTAGATGCCACGTGAATCACTGCAGAAGAGTTCCGCACTATTGACTCTGCTTTGCTCAACAACTACCAACTATTTACCTTTCCGGTGGAGAGTTCTTTCAACCGGGGGAAAAATGAGGAGAATTATATTTGATTTGATTTAGGATTTATTAATATTTGATTTAGTATCTAAGGGTTGTTATTATTTCTTTAGTATCTTAGATTTATTTTATCTTTAAGTATTATCTCAAATAAAATAAAATATTTAGCCTAACTAGATACTTTATCTTCATCTTTTATATTATGATTTGTTTTAAATTTAAATTTATTATTATTTTTATTAATTTTAGAGTTTTATAAATAGCTCTAGAATTTTTTCAATTGTGTTTAATTTTAATATTTAAATAAGAGTTATGTAGTTTTTTTTTTCTCCTCTTCTCGCACTTCCCTTTTCTTCTTTTCTGTTTCGCATCCTGTGTAATGCCTTGTTCATGTCATTTTGGAAAAATTGAAGGCTTGTTTAGGACAATGAAATATTTTTTGCAGTTGAAATAGGATAATGAAATATTATTACTTGTCAACTTTTTCAAGTGACAAGACTTTGAAAAGATCGATGATTGTGAGTCAAGACATTGAAATATTATTTACTTTTTGTGAGATAAAAAATGCGAACTCGCCTGCCCTCATGACCCTGAACTGTGGGTGGGATCAGCCAATTTGTTTTAACTTTTTAAAAAATTAATTTATATGTGTGTGTGAGACTTTTAAATCTTCAAATTTTTTAATAAAATTAAAAATTAAACAATATTTACTAAAATATCTTTTTACTTTAATTAAAAATCCTCTCCTCAACCAAGTTGAGTAAAATGAGTTAATTCATCAAATTAAAATTTAAATTTTTAATAAAATAAGTATTTATATTTAATATTTAAATGTGCTTTAAATAAAATTATTTTTAATAAAAAAAATATTTATAAGTGAAAAAAAAAAAAATTCCTTCCTCCACAGTTGCCGACAAGTATCTCGAAGCTACGTCATTGCTGCTAGAGCCATCGTTGCCTGCCAGCCAGCACAGCTTTGGCGGCTGGCGGCCGGCGCCCTCTACCAGCATGTTTAAGAAGACACTGATAATGATCAACCCTGGATGTTTTGCCAAACAGACTTTATTCATGGAAGAATCTCATGCAAGGCTAATCCAAGAAATGTAATTTCATTACAAGCCCAACAGATGTGGATATTTCTTTGCAGGCCCAAAGACCCCAGATACAATTATTTTCCTTGTTGAAATGACTCAATTATCTTTGGGATTAATAAATAAATAGGATCTTAAATTCTTACTCAAAAATCACCCTAAACTCTAAACTCTTAAAATATATAAAATAAACCTTAAATTTTTAAATTCATAGCAAAATAAACTCTGACCGTTAACTTTTTTAACACCGTTACTATCCATAAGAATGCTATAACAATCAGGGTTAAATTTGTAGGAAAATAAATCCTGAACAATACCTGCGTGAATAGTAATGGTGTTAAAAAGTTAACGATCATGATTTATTTTATTATGAATTTAAAAGTTTAGGATTTATTTTGTACATTTTAATAATTTAAGATTCATTGTGTTTTTCGAATAATAGTTTAGGATCCTATTTATTCAGTAACTCTTACCTTTAACCTTTAATGAGTGAAAAAAAACTAACAAAAACTTGTGTAAATAATAAATGGACTTTTGTTGTAAGTAATTGAACTATTATTTTGTTATTTTCAAACTTTTTGCTGTTAAATTTTTTCGATCAACTTATAAATTTTCTCCTCCTCAAATTCAACTCACAGAATTCTTGTAAATAAACAGATTTCTTGTTATAAATAATTAGATTGTTTTTATTATTTTATGAACTTTCTGTTCTTAATTTTTTCAGTTAACTTGTAAATTTTTTCAAGTATAATTGTAAACTAAATTGGACGATTGTGAATAAACAAATTTCTTATGGTAAATAATTGGACTCTTTTTTTTGTTATTTACATATCTTCTATTGTTGATTTTATTTGATTAACTTATAAACTTTCTCTAGTGTAACCCACATGTTTGTGAATAAACATACTTTTTGTTATAAATAATTAGACTTTTTTTTGTTATTTATAGATTTTATCTGTTGTTAATTTTATTTGTTCTATTTGTAAATTTTCTCAAGTACAAGTGCAACTTCGATCCACATGGGCTCTTATGAATATACAGATTATTGTTATAAATAAGTGAACTTTTCTTGTTATATATATTTATGGGTAATTTTGTTATTAATTTCTTCTAAGCACATATATTCTCATATATTAACACTATGTTTGGTTTGGTAAGGAGGGGAAGAAATATTTTAATGGAGGGGGAGGGAAGAATCCCCCAATTTGGGGGGGGGGTTCATTAAAATTTTTCCTAATTTTTTTTAGAAGTGTGCTTATTGAATCAATTGACGTTTCACAAATATACGTCAGCAAGCTATTCAGATATATATATATATAAAAAAAAGCTTTTCATCGGAAAAAAAAAAGATATTAAAAAAAAGCTTGTTATATATATATATTGCAATAAGATTTTGCTAATCATAACTACCGCCACAACATTATCTTCTAGAATTCTATAACAATACTTTTACCGTCATAAATCCCACAACCTAGCTCCAAAATGAAAAGCTTTCTATGATTATTTATAGGTTTTCCTTTAAAAGGAAAGCACCAAATTGAATCCCATCCCAATGCTTTCTTTAATGACAAAGCACCACATCTTTTTCTTTTTTTTCATTATTTGTGATGTGTGATTCTCTCAATTGATGGTTCACAATGTGTTGTCGGTTTTCAGAGTATTTCTAATTAAAATACGACAAGCCACTTTCCTACAATGGATCAATTCCCATATTAAAAAAAAAAAACATATCAAAATTTCAATCTTGTAACACTGCCAAATATTGATTCTCTACTTTGCTATAAACCAATAATCCACCATCAATTAGTAAAAAAAGGGCATCAAAATTTCGAACTCCTCATCACACTTAACAGCATAAAGGATAGAAGGACAAATTTTTGAACTTACAAATGAAGCTTTCATCACCGTACCTAAAGTTTTATAACTCTTCATTCATTAATGAGTTCTTTTAAACTTGAAATTAAAATCAATATACAAAATACATACTGGTAGTTGAGACTTAGCTTGGGATCTGCTGGAAACATTCCCCCCCCCTATCATACCAATTTTCATCATTAGATTGTGGAAAATCAATGTGAAAGCATGCTATAGTTGTTCATTTTTAAACAATCAGTGTCGGATATTTGTAACTAAATCAATGAATTAAAAAAGAAATCTTTTTCAAAATTCCATGTTAAAAGTAGGAGGATTATTATAAAATAATTTTACAGTTATATATATTTTAAAAGTTTTTTTTTTCAATATTTTATGTTAAAAGTTGAAAGATCAGGGTTACAAACTATTCTATATTCAGTTGTAAATTTTGGATGATGAGTGTCAAACCCTATAGCTAGATGAATAGATTAAATAATGTTTTTCTTTTCAATAGTTCATGTCAAGAGTTGGAAGATTAATTATATAATTAGATGTAGATAAATGTTTAAAGTTGGAAAACCAGCTGCAAATCTTTCTACATATGCCAGAATAGAGTTCAATTAATGGATATGCTTGATGGACTAAAACGCGAAGATCAGCAAGCGTAGATCTAAATAGCTAGGTTAAAATTTGTGGTGACTTAAGTTATACCTTCATGATTTTATTAGATGTATGAAGGGTTATGCAGGAATAAATACAACGCCAATCAAATTCAAACTAATTAACAGAGAGGCTGTTATGAGAAATTAAAAATAACTATAACTATAAATATAAAGAATCAATTAAAGTTGTAAAATCTAGCGATCTCATAAGATGAACTCTGATCCTCTTACCACAACATTTTTAATTTGTTATCTAAGAGCAATTTAATTAAGTGTTGCTACAACCTCAAAAACAGTTGCCTAAAGGTATATAGGGAACAACTTTCAAGTGATTCCAATTTGAATGTTAGTTATTGCTTTAGGGAATTGTTTCTTTATCTTTGGTTACATCAATTGAAAAATTGTTGCCTAAAATTAAACTGTGAAAACAGACAACAGTTTTTGAGAGACCTATTTTAATAGTTTTAAAATGTTGCTTATCACATAAATATAAGCAACATTGCCAAGGATGCTATGAATTTACTCATCATTTAGTTTTTTCTTGTCTTTTCTTTTTTTTTTTTACCATCGTTGGAGTAATATGATATGAATATTAATCGTCAAAATCATGCCATGCGTATTAAAAAAAACAAAGAAAACCATGCTATCAACTAGGAAAGTGAAATTCTTCCCATCACTTTTGTGAAATATATCCTTCCGATTGTTATTAGATAATCTAATATCAAAGTTTTCTTTACAATAGTTTTCACTTTTCAGGACAATCTTGATGATGATACTAAGTAACATGAACCTAAGTACTATTAAAACCCTTGAACCCAATCGCCTGCGTATCAATAGTAATGTTACAGTCTTTGAAGTTAGAGCCATTGAAACTACCATGGTTTTGCCCTGCATTTAGAATAGCACTGCTTTGTGTTGAGGCGAGAGGAAGAGGCCCAACAATATTTTTTCCTATTTGCTTTCCTTCATTCGACTCACTCTTAACTTTTGCCTGTTTTAAAATACCATGTGGTGGCATGCCTTGTACATGTTCAACGAAACATGAACCAATTGGCCGTCTAATGTAATCATCATATTCACAATATGGGCCACAAATATCCACGTCAAGGCCTTTCAAAGGATTACAAACTACATGAACAAAATATGTAACAACTGAATCCCCACCAATGCCAGTAGTGAATTGAACTTCATATTCTGATCTCATCGCACAGTACAACTTCAACATACCTATTCTGCATCGAAATTTGTCTTCATACCTCAACAAGAACATGCTTCGCTGGTCTATTTTCTCTGTGAATATCCCGCAAGAATCGTCAGCGTCTGCATAGCGAAGCACAAAACGCCCATTGTAATCTCTTTCAGCTACGAATTCCATGTCTACTGATACTGTATTACCTTCGCACAAGCAATCATGGAGTGTGAAGAGAACCTTGTCACGATTTACTTTAAAATGAGAAATGCAAGTGAGTGATGGATTGAGACGAGAAGTGTAAATTAGAGCATACTCATCATGAAATTCGTCACTTGACCATGTGTAGAGCTTAGCATTAACAGTAGGATCTTCGACCATACGACTGATACGAGGTCGTATTAAGGCACGGCTCAGTGAGGTACCCATATACTCGCCTTCACCAGCTCATCAGCTTACTGAACATTTGAATGGAAGAGATTCTTTTTATAGAGAGAGACTCGAGAGGCATATTGGATCGTAGACACTTCTTGATAATATGCATACACAACATGTATGGTATGTTAGTTATAAACTAGCATATATGCCGTAGAATGACTTTTAGCGAAGGAAGAATTTGATTCCTTTAATTAAATCATTAATTAAACGGAAGGGACCATGGTGCTCTTCTGATATATAATATCATTAGGTATTTTAAATGCCAATGCATGCAAAAATAAAACTTTTGATATCACACTTTTCAATGTCTCTTTATATATATGAGAAGAGCACCTTGGTTCAGTGTCCCTCCATCTCTAAGCTAGCGTATAAGGAACTTTGCAAAAAAAGAATTTAATGCTATAATATTGTTTTTTTTCAGAGTCTTTTATATTTGTGACCAACACTAGATGGTAGGAAATGACCTTTGGAGTGGAGAGAGAATTTCTCTAGCTATAAAAGAAGCTCTACACGTGATTAAGAATTTCCACCAAAATGTATGGAGCGATTCGCATAAATATAACACACACACACAATCACATTTAAAAAATGCAAAACTGCCAAAAGATCAAATCTTCACTTCTATAAACTAAAAATCTCTCTTCAAATTAGTTTAAAAAATCGCATCAAAACTTGGAAATCTCCACATATATACTAGCACAATGGATGGCTAGACAAATCCTTATTAAACTTGCTTACAATTAAAGCTATCTTGATGTTCAACATGTTTTTTTACCTATACGTATTCTTCTCTTAGAGGAAATATCATTTAACGCACTGTGGGATACTAATTATAGGTACCTCTCTTAGTGGAGATTTGAACCTTGGTTCAGCGCATTGTGAAAAACTAGCTCCTTTTGCTAGACAGTGTTGTAACTACATGTATAATTACTGATTAGTTGCTAAATTTTTTTTTTTCACCAAATCAAGGATAATTACAGGGGTAGCACAGGTTTCTTCGAAGTTGATAGCTGGCTTGAGAGTTATATAGTTGTTAATCTCCTTGTTGAAGTGTTAACTTAGAGCAAAACAAAAGAGAGAGATGAAAAAGATGGGAGAGGAAGAGATAATGAGTTAACCCCATTCTCATCATTGAATAAGATAGGTATATATTGATGTGAATAATCATAAGAACTTACAATATGAGATGCAAATTGAGCGATATTATACAATAAAAGAACCTAAAGATCCTGAGAAACCTTGAACTGAAACCTACGGCCTTTGCTATGAAGTTGAGGGTCATTGAAGATAGATCCATTGAAAAGACCTTGAGTTTGTCCTGCATTCAAAATAGCATTATTTTGAGAAGAGTGAAGAGAAGGCGCAAGAATGTTGTTCCCTTGGTTCCCATTTGAGACTACTTTACCACATTCTTCCTTCAACCGACGCCAAATAAGACTTATATCTTCGATAACATAATCTGGAAGCGAACAATCATATTCAAAAATAGCATTCTCTATAACACCATACTCATCTTGTCCTTCAACTTCCTCAGTTTTATCCATACCTGAACAGTCCACAACAAGACCTTTCGATGGATCACAGGTTATGCGAAGAATACTACTAAGAGCCACCGAAGGAGACAGACTCAAATTGAATTTTATATGCCATATCTCGTCTACACAAGGCTAACTGATTTTTGCTTCTTCCCATGTCATTGCTCCAAAACGATATCTGGCGACCGATTGATCTTCGTCTTCGCTCTGTGAAATTCTCACCAAATTCTTGAGCTTTAACAGCACCAAACTTGTAAATTCCATTGCTGTCTCGTGCAGTTACCAACTCTATGTTTATTGCGACAAGATTATCTTGACACATGGCATCATAGAATGTGAAAAGCACTTCTCGTGACTCACTCTGTAATAAAGAGTGCAAATTCCTGCTTTCTTGTTGTGCCTTTCGTTGCAAATGAAAGCTCACAGCTCGCCCAATTCACTTGACCATTCCTATTGTTCAGATCTCACCAAGTCAAAAATTCTACGACGATGATAGGGCTATGTATAGCTCAGGTTCAATGAGGAACCCATAAGCTTGTAGTTGTATTCACCAACCCATCAACTTACTCAAAATTTTCAGGGAAGAGACTGGAGAAGTACATATTGGATTATAGACCATATTTAGTGATTAAATAATATATGTAATATGGCTGGGAAAAAGCTTGCATAAATATGCCCGAGAATAACTTTTGTAAATGGAGAACTTAGTTCCCATCAATCATTCATCAACATAAAAACAAATGGGTGATTCGTAGAATCACCTTATTGCACGCGATATCTAGGTAAACTTCTAAAATAGAAGATAAATATATATTTCTAATTTATTAGCTCTCAACTAATCAAAACAAACATGGCCTCATCATGCAGAACAAGGGAGAGGAAAGGGAAAAGGGAGGAGAGAAAGAAAATAGGCCGAGAGGAACTCAGAGAGAGAGAGGGCGGTGATTCAATATTGGCAATTGTGTTCATTCAAAAGGCGGACAAAGAAAATATGTTATGACAGTATTTAGTGGCCTTAACCCAACCCAGCTTTTATCTCTCATTAGTGAGTTCTACTTTAGGTTCTTTTTGTGTGGGTTACTTGTTTGAAGTTCTTTATTTGGTGCGGTTGTTTCTTTGTTGGTTTTTCTGGGTCTGCGTTGGTACTGGTTTCTTTGTTTCTGCGCCATGCTTTTTCATTACTTATTTGCCAACGTAACAGAGAATCGTCAAATACATGCCTCAAAGCTTCAATCATTAATAATATCTTATTATTGGAAATTGAGGGGTTCTGTGTCGGTGGTTCAACAACAGAGGAATTATTTTACCTCGTTTTTTTTTTTTTTTTGAGGAGAAAGCTGACTCGCAGGTTGTGATTAGTCATAGTGTCTAGCTACTTGGAACATCACGCTTCAAAAATAAAAGGTAACCGACATGAAATGTGAACCATATCATACATCCCTTAAGTTCAAAATTTAAAAATCTTTCCATTTTAAAACATAGTTAAATTTGTACTAAAAATTATAACATACTTAATAGAAATCATTATAATGATAGTTTCAATATTTTTATAGAAATTTTAGTAGAACTTTCCCTGTAAATAGAATTTTTCAAAAATTATACAACACAATATTTTACACAACATATAATATCAATTAGGAGCTTAACTCCTTCCAACCAACAAACAACATATATCAAAATAGAAACCTAGTTATAGGCTATGTGGAGCATCTAACCTTCCTTTTAAATAAAATACATGAGTTCAAACTTTGACATCAAAAGGAGATAATGCTAGGTAAAATTTCATCCAAAACAAATGTATGCCCTTCAAAGGTCAATAGTAGGATCAACGTCAGCTAATGAATCTGAGACCAAGATAAATTTTCAGTGAATAGCATCCCAATAATAAATAATTAAATATATATAAAAAGAAGGTTTAACATAATTTTATGTACTAGAGATAACAATTTCGCAAACAATTATTTAATAAACTTCGGCATAAAAGGACTGTGTATAACTTTAAATAAATTCTTGATTCATTAAAGCATCATTTCAAACGTCATTATCATGTAATTTCAATAAAGCAAATAATTACATTAAATAATTATAAATATATTACTAATCAAAACCAATGAAAAATAGATCTATCAAATAATTAAAAACTCATAATTTTAGGGACTTATCAAAACAAGTAACAAATATGGATACACAATTTACAAGGATAAATAACCAAACACAGCTTATGCAATGAAGATAAGTGTGGACACACAGTCTACGAGGGTAAGTAACCAAACACAGCTAAAGCCACGATACAAACGTGGACACATAGTCCACGAGGGTAATGATAACCAAACGCGGCTTAAAGCCATGAAAACAAACACAGGTATGAGACCCATGAATAACAAATGTGAGAATAAAACTCATGAAAATCAAACTAACTAGTCATTAACCATAACACGTCAAGGGCTAACGAAACTGCCATTAGCAACTAGTATTCTGTATAAAGTCTCTTTCAAACCCAAGTTCAAACATGCAAGGAAATATTCACCATTAGAATAAAATTTTTATTTTCAATGTCAAACTCGCATGAATCATTTTCTATAGCAATTTAATAATTTTCAGAATCAAATTTCATAATTAGAATTCAAACTTGTATTTACTGATTAACTAAAATTATCAAATCTGGCAAAATAATTTCACAAAATAAAGTAATTTAATTAACAAAATTTTTAATAATTACATTGTTGTTGTAAAAAGAACTTGTATAAAAATATAATATTTGAATAAAGGAAATTTTATTGAAATATGAGTTAGGAAGCTATCCACTTATTTGAAATACTTCTATAATTCAAGAATTCATCTTTCAACATTAATTAAGTTTCTCCTCCTCCAAACATCCTATAAATTAAATTAAGACTTTATTTTATTAAATATACAACCAGTATAATAATTCCTTTTCAACCTCAATCACCATCAATCTTCAAATATAATGTGTTTGGGACTTTAAAAAAAAAAATCCTCACTAGTGTTTGGTCAAGGCACTCCAACATAAATCACTTCCAATGCTTTCATAAAAATACTAGCATTCAATAATTCATCAACAACTATCCATTTTTAAGAATTCAAAAATCACATTATCAATTTCATAGGCAAATATTCTTTGCATCATTGAATTAAAATTCATATCTCCCACAAAAATTAATGAGACTTCATAAATATTTAAAAATTAAGTTCAATTTCTTCTAACACGTATTTCAACAACCATTTTGTTGTCATCATTATTCAGGTTTCATATCTCATCTCTTGTAGTTTTGTCCTAACCAAATTTTCATTATGAACCACTTTTAAGTAAAATGAATTTAATTTCAAAGTTGACTCTATGTATATCATTATCAACCTCTGAGATAATTTCCAGCATAAATGTGAATTTTCTCCTCCCTGCAACAACATGACAGCAGCACGGCACACACAAAAAAATCTGTAACTTCACACACAACAACAACATAACACACTCACACCCACTGCAGAACCAACAATGAAAAGGTTTGAATTTCCTCACCTCAACCCAGTAAAACAGAACAAAAAAGGAGCACGAAGAGAGCCACTATATAGCCAAACTGAGAGGAGGAAAGGAAAAGAAAATCTGCAGCACCAACAGGGGAGCTCTGAACGTCTAACTTGGAAGAGCAAAACAGAAGGAGATGAGGGATATTGACAGCAAAAAGGGGAAGAAAAACTCACGCTCAGGTAACAGACGAAGCTTCGGTACCTACCCACGGCAGTGATCGACGGCAATACCAATAAAAAAAAAAAAGAAACAGAACAGAAATGACGAATGGCAGCAGATCCGGATACTTTCTGCAAAATATTGAGGAGCCCGCGATCGCCGACGATGATTGAAAACATAAGGGAAGAGAAAAGGGTAGAGGGAAAATGAAGGAATGACTGAAAAGAATCAGATTCTCTCTCATCCACACACTTCTGGAAATTAGAAGAAGAGAAGGGGAAAATATTTCAGATTTGAAGAGAAGGGCAATTCTGTAATTTTATGAAAAAAAAATCTAGAAAAATAAAACCCCCTATAGCCTTGTTTGGATTCGAACTGCAGACCTGATATGTGGGTTTCATGCACTCTTCCACTACGCCAGTTCTCCTTGTTTATCCCGAGAGCTAATATAACTTTAATTAAAAGATATTATAACATTAATGTTTAGTTTATTACTATTATTATTATTTATTTAAAATTTCTAGGTCATTACATGCAACGTTTTACTTTGGTAGTAATTTCATGGAAGCCAGACTTATCAATATTTAGGGTGTCTTTCATTAAGCTTCATGCATATGTTAGCATTATTTTTGGTTTGCCGCTTGAATATTATAATGAGGCTTTAGCTTGTATGTTATTACATGTCACACCTTAAAAATAGAGAATGACTGGCATGAAATATACACCACATCACACATCTCTCGAGGCTTAAATAGAGAAACCTTTCCGTCACTAACATAATTATGTTTATATTAGTTTATAACATGCATGATTATTTTTGTATTAATTAAATCTTTAATATTTTTATAAAAATTTTGACAAAAACTTCTCTATAAATAAAATCTACCAAAAAATCTACAATACAAATTTTTGTAAAAAAATATAATTTCAATTAGGAGTTCAGCTCCTTCTAGCCAGCAGACAAAATATGTGACAAAATAGAGAACCTAATTATATACTATATGGAGCACCTAGATATAAATTTTCAAAATAAAATTTCATTGTCACACCCCAACATCAAATGTATGATCGGCATGGAATATGAGATGAACTCATATTCCATAAGCCTTGATTAACCAAAAATTAAACTAAAATATCAATATATGTAAGTTATATATATATATATATATTTTGAAAAGTTTTAAACATTTGGTAGAAATTTCGATAGAATCTTCCTTATAATTTGGATATCTCAAAATTTTCACAATAACAATAGAACTTGCCAATTAGACTAGTAAGGAGTCTAACTCCATTCTAGCAACTTGCATAATAACAACATAAGATTTGGATCTAATAGTGATATACATGGAGCACTAACTTACATTTTACAAAATTCCACCAAAAAAGAATAACCACCATATGCTTTCTTTGTTCCAAAAAATAATAGGTCCCTCAATGATCCACAAGAGGCACAGGGTCATGTACCATATCTGAGACTAAAAAAATTTCTAATAAATAGCATTCCAATTAAAATTATAAACTTTATAGAGATTATAAAAATAGTAACTAATAAACTTAATTTGAGATGACTTAATGGAATAATAAAACGTCAACAATGACTAGTAAATTTTATCCATAATATAATTATGAAATTACACAAATGTTATTAGTATCATATAAGCGTTTAAAAATTGGTACAAATCATGAAATATAAATGTTTGCATTAATAATGAAATTCCATTAAGTACTTCTGGAAAATTAATAAATGAGTAACAAATTTTATTTTAAATTTAGGAGGGCTTAATCAGAATAAATAACAAGTGTGAACACACAATTTACAATGGTAAATAACTAATCAAACTTAGCTTAAGGCCGCAAAATAATCAAGCATGGCTAAAAGCCATAAAACAAGGACAGCATAGGCCATGAAATAATCAAACATGAGAGCAATGCTCATGAATATCCATCCCTTCATTCCATGTGCGTTGGCTTGCGCATGGGGCTAGCACCTCTTATAAACATGATAACATATCAAAATTAATGTCAATTCAGCACATTTTCCTCCACTTTATTTGATAAATTAGATTAATTGTGAATATTTTAGGTTTAAATATAGGAAAATAAGCTTTAATCCAGATTGACATGGAAAATAGAATTTATTGAAAATTTTGCATAAACTCTTACCCTGATTTTAAACTTTAAAAGATCTCATAGCTGTATCTATTATTTCAAGAAATTTATTTTAGGTAATTTTAAAGATAGATAGCCAAATGATGATTGAAGATGCATTTGAAAATATAACAACAAAAAAATTGGAGCCAAGAGTGAAGTTTAGAGGCTTTTAGTCATGTGCCGCGATGCATGCACAGTGCGTTGCGACATGTGGCACAGAGATGGATTTCCTAGAGATGCAGGAGCGTCGTGGTGCACTACCAACATGCTGCGATGCAATTCCACATTTTACATATGCACCGAGCTGTACTGACAACACACCATGACATATGGCCTAAATCTTGCTGTGCATTTTAAGCTGCAGAATGGAAAAAATTGGGGTAGATAAGCCATAAACATGCCTCTAGATAGAGAGCTGTAATTTTTAGAGATTCTTGGAGGCTTGCTCTGCTAGGGTTTAGGATTCTTGAAAGAGATTTGGCCAAAGATTGAAGATTTAAAGAGATTCAAGTGGATTTCCTTTGGTTTTTCTTCTTCTCTTCCCTTTTCTCTCTTTATTTCTAATATGGAAGCTGTGTATTGGAACATTTATGGCTCTTTTTCTAAACATGAATAGCTAGTTCTCTTGTTCTAAGATTATTTTGAACCTTTGTATAGATTAAGACTTGAATATTCCTCTCTTTTGGTAGTTAATAATATATATGTGTTTATTTTATCCTATGCTTAATGTTTTTAAGTGCTTGATCATCATTTAGATTATTTTATTTACTTGAGTTGTGCTTTAGAAAGCTAATTTATGTATAGAACTTGGATAAAATAATGTTGGGTTTGAAATTTACAAATACAAAAAAATGGTATTGTTGGTAAAATAGAGATATGTTATTAACCTTCTATAGTCATATTAAAATTGAAACTTAAAATTTGTTTTCACTAATTATTTTCAAGAGATTGTGAAATTTTAATGTTTTTAAATATAGTTGATTTTGACTTGAGAAAGCTTTTTCAAGTGAATTGGGATCTTAGACTAACACTTATTTTCATTAAAAAATCTATTTGAGAGGAATTAATTCAAGTTTTATGAAATACAAAGGGAAGAGATAATCTTAAATTTCCACTTCTGAAAGTCAAGGTTTCAACAAGTTTTAATTGCTTTAAAATAATTTTAATCCAATTTTCATTACTTTTACGCAAACTCACTTTTGATTTTTCTCAACTTATCTTAAAACTTAATAATAAATTTTAATTCTCATTTGCCTAAATTCTCGCAAGAATGATAACTCTAGAATATTCTACACTTGTGATGACCTATACGCTTGTGATAATGCTTGACAGCAAACAAAACACCCTGCTAGTTAGGTGTACTATGGTGCACCAAGGGCTAATGAAACTACTATTAATATCCAGTATTCTGAACTCAGTCCCCCTTAATTAAAGTCAAGCATATATGGAGTAAGATAAATAATATCAAATCTTCACTAGCAACTACAGTTCGACTATCATTTTTCATTATCCAAATATATCATCACCTTTTTCATACACCATTCATTACAATAAAATTTTTATTTCAACATAGAATTAAATAATTAAGCTGCTAATGAGAAATAAAACCAGTTGTCATGTACTTATTTCACTAATTGATTATCAAAATGTAAGTCCTTAATAAAATTAGTACATTTTCATATATTAAACAATTATTGTCTGAAAAGTAAGATTAACAAGAATATATGTACAATTTATAAACCCAATAGTAAAATTTAAATAAAGGTTTCATAAGCATCCAACTAAAAGTTAATTTGAAATGCTACTCACTCATTTAAATTTTCAAAATCTTATAGTCAAACTCCAATGACATCTTGCTTATTCCAATAATGCCCTAAACTAATCTAACATATAACCCAACAATTCTCTTGTCATTTTGAATATTTATAATTTTCAGGCTCTATTATAAAATTTAACAATCTTATTTCCACCCATAAATCTTTCAAGTATATTTACATTTATTATGGGAACAAGCACCATTACTAAATCATGAGACAAGCATCCAAGAAAAACCAAATATTTTCATCTTCTAATTTCTTTTGCAAAAATTCCAACTCAGAATATACTAAGATAGTATCCAATCCACACAACACCTAATTATTTCTACCACCTTAAGATAATAATATAAAGAAATAGAGCATGCTTTTGGCCAATGAAGAAAGAAGAGTAAATCACCTAGTGTTTGGGCTAAAATATGAAATGTTGCTAAGATAGGTCATAGGACTAGTTGGGTTGAGTAATTGAAGCATCAAGCTCAATAGAACAAAGAGGCTAGCCCCGAAGCTCAATAAAGGCCACGATAAAGTAAACATGCCAAAATCCCGCCAGATACAAGTATTGGAACGTTAGCACAAAAGGACACGATCTTAATGAACCCAGAAATCTATGGACTTTATACCCAAGCATCTCGGTGAAACGAGCTGATTATCAAGATGGAGAGCATGGAATAAAGATTGTGTCATGAGTTTTACGAGATCTCTGATTGTTTGGCAAAATATGCTAGGTTTTAAGGGAGATGCTACCACCACTTTGACACTATAAATAGAAAATGAAGATACAAAAGAAAGTAGTTAACACTCAATCAAAGACTTGCATTTTTATATCTTGTAGCCTTAGTTTTATTAGTTAGTTTTACTTTCAATTTAGACTTGTAGCTTCTCGTATTTCAATAAAATCAAACTCTTATTTTATCAAAGTCTTGTATCTTTTTACATTCGAGTAAGCTGTGGTAAGGAGCTTGGGACTTTTTGTTATCAATTGAGATTTAGAGTTTTTGGCACGCTTGATATTTGTTATTCATTACGAACACCCAGCATACTAAAACCCATAATCATAGAAGAAAGGAGAATCTTGAATAGAATCTTAAAAATTTAATAAATTTAAAATCAAAAAATTTTATATAATTTTAAATAGAATCTTGAACCATTAAAATATCATGTCAAATATTATCATCACTTGATTGCAAGGAAGAAAATAAACAAAATAAATAATTATAAATAATTTACTAATTAAAACCAATGTGATGTAAAATCT